GAGTATTATTATCATAATCTTTTTTACATTCACCACAGATAAAGACAATGTCAGAATAACCATCAGGAGTATTATGACCCACCAATTAAAAAAAAAACATGAGTTATTTTACATTAAACAGACTATGATTACTTATATTCTGCTAAAAATGACATATAAGAAATAAATAACTATATAGGCAAAGAGGATCAGAGTGGCTGGAATAATTATTGTCCAGAAATACTATTATTCCTACTAATATTAGAAATTTATTTTTAATTTCAATTGATGAATCAGTGGATATATATAGATATCAAATTAAAAATAATTCTTTTTCACAATAATAAATTTGATTAGGGGTTTAAAAAGATAAAACAAGATTATTTTGAAAGCAAAAAACAATTTACTTTAAATGTTTTGCTGATATGCAAAAGAAAATTAATAAAATATATGCCATTTCCCACTAATTATTAATTAACCCTAAGAAAAGATAGCCTGATCTTTTTAAAAAACAAGGAAACTCACTTTTTTAATAATTTTTCTAATCGTTTATACCATTCTTCATCATGACTTTTTCTTAAAATTTCTCCATCTCCAGCACCAGTTGGCCAAGTTATATCATAATTCATGAAAAATGGATATCTTTGTCTGAAACTCCAGATCATCAAAATCTATTAAAAGAGCATGTACTTGTTGCACCTTTTCATATATTAAAATATTATTTGAACGGAAATCACCAAATACAATATTGTTTTCATGGAGAAGGTCAATTGCAGCCCTGATTTCCTTTAATATAAGCTTTTTTTGTTCCAAATCAAGATGACTATCTTGCAATTGTTTTGCATTATGAGCATACTCCATTATTATAATTATCCATTCTTGCATCTTTTCTGTATCAACATGTAACAATTTTGGTGCAAATCCCATAGCAGCACACAATCTGTGAGCATCAGCATTGTACCTTCTAGAAAATTTAACAATAACATCTAGACCATTTTTAGAAATCTTTGCCTTGTATACACCTCTAGAAATGTGTTCTGTGTAAATAAATTTTACCTCCCTTCCATCTTGAATAAATGTATTTATATATGGAAAAAAATTCTGGTGTCCATGAAAAACTTTCTGTGCCTCTATCTTTCTATAGTAAAATTTTTAGTCCTTGTCATGTTGGTGAAGTGTTCTGTTGGTGAAGTGTTCTGTTGGTAAAGTGTCCTGTTGGCAAATTGTCCTGTTGGTAAAGTGTCCTGTTGGCAAATTGTCCTGTCAGTAAAGTGTCCTGTTGGCAAATTGTCCTGTCAGTAAAGTGTCCTGTTGGTAAAGTGTCCTGTTGGTAAAGTGTCCTGTTGGCAAAGTGTCCTGTTGGTAAAGTGTCCTGTTGGTAAAGTGTCTTGTTGGTAAAGTGGGTGTCAGTAAAGTGTCCTGTTGGTAAAGTGGGTGTTGGTAAAGTGTCCCAGACCCGATTATTTTAGTACATATCCAATAGAAAGAGCCATAACTCTTATAGAATTAATATCAGAAGATTTAAATAAACAATTGTTTAAAATATTGAAAAATAATAATCCAATGCATATCAACTTTGAAAAAGTGATATTTGGTGCGGAGTATACATGAAGTTGAAATTATTTTGACCATTTGCAGATCTGGTCAAAATAGGGTTGAAATAAGGTCAAAACTGATTTTTACTATGTAGTTGCCTC